ACACACACACACACACACACACACACACACACACACCCGGCGGGCCACACAGGAGTCACCCCTTGTGTTTGAGACGTGCTCTAAACAGTTATTTGGAACAGACTTTGTAGTGATGCAATACAAGTGTATTTTCTCTGTCTTTTAATTATCTATTTTAACATTTATTTCATCAGAAAAAATATCCAACTGAGATTTAAAGATCTCCTGGACCAAAGAACKTGTTTTTTGAAGGTTGAACATGATSAAKGTCAGGCTGCAACAGTGTTACACACTGATGGGTTTTGTTGTTGTTTTTCATATTTGGGAGCATTAAATTAAGAGGTGGAGTTATCTCTCATCCAGGAGATGAGTGTTTTTAAAATTCAAAACATACAAAGACCCTGATGACACTTAGACAGAGAGGAGAGCTGAGTTCAYAAACTTTGTTTATGAACGGATCGGTCACACACACACCCTCCATCTGACGTGTTAGCTTGATTTAGCTCAGATGTTTCTCACGCTGGTTTGTACGATGTCTTTAGTCTGTGGGAAATCTGCTTCCTGTTGAAGAGGCTTTTTCTTGTTCTGACCACTTCCTGTGTTCAGTTCAAACACTTCCTAATATGGCAAGCACATTATTTGACACTTTATTACATCCCCATTTTTCTAAACTGTYAGCTATGAAAATGCAGATTTAGCGTTTTTACTGCAAATAACCTTGTTTTGTCAGGAAAAAAACAAAGCGTCACTGCGTAATGTGCATCAACTGTAAAAGTAGAGCACCTGCTCTGAACTGCAGCTGATGCTGACAACAGGAAACGTAGACAAGTTAGATATTTTCGTGAATGGCTTCAGAAGCCCTGAAGACTTTCTGAATCTGTAGAAAAATAAGTGAAGTTTGCTGACATAAAGACTTGCAGGGTGAACTTAAAAACAGCACCATTTGAGTTCTGGGTGAAGCTGAACTGGTTTAAAGCCTCAAACATTTTTTTAGAAACTTCATCTCTGTTGTCAGAAACAAACTTACCCCATTTTTAAAGCTGCAGTCCAGATCCAGTGACTCGGGTTCTTTCAAAGTGTTCTAGTCATGAACTCGTCTCTGGTCCTCTCAGGTTTGTTGTGTGAGCACCTCCACTGCTCTTTCATGACATTAACACAAACCACTTGCACTTCTGCCTTTGTGTTCTCGTTTCCTACACGTTGTTTTCTCTCTTCCTGTTCACGTCTGCTTCACCTTTTTTCTAACCTCTCATTTTAAAGCCCCCCCCCCCCCCCCC